CACTTCCACTGAGCTTCCACTTGTTGTTGTAGCCACCCCAGTCCCCCATGACTGTGCCTTTTGGCAAGGCAAGCTAGGTGGCAAACAGTATGTCCTGTCTAGCTATATGTACTCTTGAGCCAAAGCCCCTTGTGAAACACTGCCAACCAGCCCTAAACAAGAACACTAATGCACAACAAAGCAGGGAAGCGCATGAACAAAAACTAGGAAACACAAGAAACCACAACCAGAAAAAACATCACAAACACAAACCCAACCCCCTTCCTCCACCTCAACTAGCTTTTTTTCAGCACACCAGACGGTGAAGGATTTGGAGCCGTGGCTCAGAGGGGTCGCAGAGCAGGAGATGCAGGATGATGGGGACATGAGAGTTCACATCTCCGAAATGTTGTCCCTGGTCGCTTTCATGTGCGAGAGGGGCCCGATCTGGCGGGGCAAGGTGGTGCTCTATTTGTGGGGGACAACTCCACGGTCAGACAATGGGTGAGTAAGCGCCAGAGTGGGTTAAGGGCTGGAAGGCTACTGGTTCGCGCGCTGAACTTGTGCGAGATGAACTATGGCTTCACGCTGGTTGGGGGCTGGTGGAGGACCTACCATAACGTCGACTCCGACTACATCACTCGGTGCACCGACGAGGAGTTTGCGGCGATGCTGGAGAAGAAGAGTTGGACAAAGGTCGAGTTGGGTCCGGCTATCTCCAAGGTCACTGAGGACACAGCCCGCTTCGGACCTTGCTTCCTGTCGTGGCATGACCCGGAGGATCGCCAAGTGATGCTTCAGTTGAAGGAGAAACGCCTCAAGCGCTTCATCGACAGGCCGGTGGGAATCCCATGGGAGAAGCTGAACGTCATCGAGCTCGCCAGCGAGGATAGATGGCTCAAGGACTTCGAGAGCCTGGTGCCCAGTCAAACCCAGGTTAAGGGCAACTTCACCATCGTGGTCGCCACCTTGCCGGTGGATCTAGGCACCACCCTACATGGTGAGGGGGTGCCTTCCAAAACATCTTTAAAAATCCGACCTTTTGGCAAGGATTGCAAGCTTTTGCTTTGGTTTCCCTTTATGTCAAGGGCAAAGCTTGCCTTTATGCAAAGGCTTCTTTTGGTGTCAAGGGCAAAACTTGCCTTCATGTCAAGGCTTTTTTTATGCCAAGGTCACAGCTTGCCTTTATGTCAAGGCTGCTGTTATGCATGTATGTCAAGGCTTCCCACCCTTTTGCCAAGGGTTTTTAGCGCAGCTTGTCACTTCTTTCTCTGCGCTGCAGCTTGCTGAGCCCCATTTTCAGGACATCTTGGTGGATGCTCTGAATCACCCTTTGTTGATGGATTGTCCTCTTCTTTGTCACTTCAGTCAAGAGCCTATACTTGCTCTTGGCATCAGCCTGTGCAGTGATGTATGCCCTTTCTGGCTTCTTTGCATATGTCACCTTCACCTTGTACCATTTCTTACCAACAGGCTTCACATCCCCATTCCCTTTTGTCAAGGGATCCTTTTTTGTTGGTTTCAGATCTCCATTGCTTGCTTTCTTCCCTTTTGTCAAGGGTGGGTTGTGATGTGTTGCTGGCTTCTTCACCACACCCATGGCTTTTGGTTCCGATGCCCAGAAGATGTCCGGAATGTCATCCTGTTGCAAATTTTGTAGGCGCAGCTTGGTTGAAGGCCCCCCAAAAATGCAGCAGGTTTGTCATGATGTGCACTCATCCAGCACCACATTCTAATAACAGTATTGGCATAACAGCGGTTGCCCTTGTTTCTGATATTGAGCGTGAGATTGGCCGCAAGCAATTCATTTGCCGGTGGCATGTCCAAGTCTTGAGTGACCAGTCTGGTCAATTGTATACTGCTTTGCAACGCAAACCGCATTCGTAGGATGTGCTTCAAGGCTTCTAGTCCCCACACTCTTGTTTCAACCATTCCATACTCACTGTCATCTCGACATTGGATTGGCAAGGCTCAAGAGCTCTGGCTTGCAGGGTGGTCAGCCTGTCTTGAAGCAAACCTGGCAGTGTCATTTCCACTTCCTTCTCATCATCCTCAAGGATATAGTAATCATCTTGGTCATCCTTGCCTCCACCCAAGAGAGTAAGCTGGGGCCCAACATGTTGCAGGTCAGGCTCGCTAGTTGGGGCCATGTGAACGTGATCAGAGGTCCCGCTGGAAGCAGGTCTGAGTTTCCTCAGCCGCTCTGATCTCCTCAAAGGCAGTGCCTCTGTCACGTCCAAGCCCATTCCACAAGCTTCGGCTGCGTCATCCTTGTCACTCCGCACTGTTCTAGCCTCCATTGGCTTTGCATTGGAGGTGGCAGCACTGACAGGCTTAGTACTCACACTGGCCTGCCCTGCTGATATTGCAGGGGAAGATGAATCGTCAAGGGTTTCTGAGCCCCCCGTGACCTCGGAAATTTTGCCCCGACCGGGGCGCACTGTCAACATCTTCTGCGTGCTTGCCCTCAAGAACGGCAGATATATTCAAAATATCTGTTTTTAGGCCTCTGTGGTGCCGATAGTGCGGCCCAGACCGGGCCGCATCGTCAACATCTTCTGCACCCATGCTCTTGACTGCTGAGCCCCCGGAGTCGACATCACCCGAGGCTCTACAGCTGATGAAAAACCAACATCAACACCCAAGTCAATGCCAAAAGCGCCAGATTCATGCACTGACATATATGGTGTGTCATGGTACCCCTCGACGTTCACATACGGCTGCATTCCTTGATGACAAAATTGCACAAATTCATCCACAACGTTGCAATCAACTCCTGTCCAAGACTCTGCGCTCACATCTGCACCCGGCATTCCCCAAGCTGTGTGGGATGGTGCTCCCTGATGCCAAACACTCAAACAGTCCCAAACCTTTGAGTAATCCCCTGGGCTTGCGGTGCCAAGCCCTGCCATGCTATTCTCATTCCTCCAGGGCCCCATCACTGCAGGAAAATCCCATTTGCATCTTCTTTTCCAACACGTCTGATGTTACCCACTCAACTGGGCTTCACCAGTCTTGCGGCGCTTGGCCAGGGTTTCAGCCAAATTGCGCTCCAATTCCTTTCGCTGGCAGAATTGAAAAGGATACCAGCCTGTCCCAAAGCCTTCAAAACATGCTCCGTGGCATCTGTATCCAGGACATGTTCATTGGGCGGTGAGAAGGGCACAGCTTCCTCCTTCAGCTGCTTTGCATAGGCCTCGGACTGATCACCCAACTGCTTGCGCTCCTTGTCAATGGCTTCTTGCACCCCTTTGAGTTCCTCAAGTAGCAACTTGTAGTGGTCCTTGGCCATATCCACTTTCCGCGGCAAAGATTGCTTCTTGGTTGCCAACTGTCGCAACTCACCCACCGTGGCTTTGAGCTGCTCCGTGACATCAATGGTGGCTGAGGGAGCTCGCTTAATGAGTCCAACCACAGCCTCCTTCACTTCCTTGGAAGTGAATCAAGGCGGGCACTCAGGTTCTGGGGTGAAGTCAATACCCATGCTCTTCAGAGCCGCCTGAGCTTCCGGCGGCATTGTCCCCCATGCCTTCTTCAGGGTGGATTCGATGGCATTGGGTACTTGCTTGGTCTTTGCTCCAAGGCCTGGCGGTGGACCCACCTGAGGTCGCACACGTCCTCGTGGCTTCCGCACCTTCTTAACGGGGGAGGTACTCTTCCAGTCACTGTCAGCACCAGGCCATGGAGTGCCACATGTGTTACATCCCATCTCTGGGCATTGATGCGATCTGCCCAGATCCAGGATGAGCTGCAGCCCGTACATGCCACATAGCGCCTCCTCGTTCTCACCTTCTCAAAGTCCTGGAAATAGCCCCCCATCATTCCAAGGAACAAACTCGGTGAGGTTCACGTCAATCTCAATTACGAGCAAGGGCAAGGCCACCGAACGGGTAGGATTTACCAAAGGCGCCTTCAAGCAAGTAGACCAATGCCCTTGATCTCGTCAGTGCCCTTGAGCCAGCTTGAGCCAAGAGCTTGAGCCACTTGAGCCAAAATGGCTTGAGCCAATCCATCCGTCTTCTACATCTCTCTCTCTCTCTCTCTCTCTCTTCAACACCTTCTACAATAAGTGTGACTTATTTAATCATGGACTTAATTAATTCTTAACTTAATTACTAAAACGTACTAAAACTTAAAGAGTTGTCTACCTTGAGACGTGCACATACGTGCACAAGCCCTGTGCAGCAGTTTCGGCTGCATCTCGAAATCGGTTTGTTTCAATTTCTGTTCAAAAATGTCAAGTCATTCATAACAAAAGCTGTCGCATGTCTCTCGGCCCCTGACATGCAGATCATTCAGTGATAAGACTGTGGAGGCCTGAAATTGTCAAAGCGCAATGGCATGCTGGGGAAATACGCGCAGTGTCTTGGTAGACTGGGTCATACGAGGCGTGCACAAGGTCTACAGGTGTGGCAGGCAGGGAGCGGCAGGAGCGTTGGGTGCCCAAACGATGACGCCCGGGAAGCCGCAAACGAGGCATAGCTCAAGCCTTCCAGGAGCGAAATGGCAGTTGAACTGCAACTGCTTTTGCTTCTGTTGCTTCTTTTTGCTTCAAATCTGAAGACTTTTCGGATCTAATATGATTTTTTTGAATAAGTCCTTTATATATCATTTTAACCCCGTAGGCTTCCCCTCTCTTCACCATTCGCTTCAGCATTGGGCGCCGACATGTGCACATCTCTCTCAGCTATCAGTTGCTCACACCGCCCAGCCCAGGCTGCCTCCTCCATGGAAGTCTTCACAGCAGCTGAGAGGTGCCCTGTGAGGTCGGGGGATGAAGTTCAACCAGGGCACCCGTGCTTGAGGGCTGCCATGTACAGGGCGTGGCGAATAAAACCGCTTGGTTGTTTTTTACCGCCGGCCCCCATTGCCCGAACCTTGGGACTCACAGCGAGCCGCAGGAGCGACTGAAGGTCCGGAATGTTACCAAACTGGCGGAGCACGTGTGAAATGTGTGCTAAGCGCCAAACAAAATTAAATATGTGTCTGTACAAGGGCTGCTGCGCGCTCACCTACATGAACTATTTTGCAGGTTCTGTTGCTGAGTGATGGGCCTCAAGCCAGGTGAGCATTTCATAGAGAGATGCTGACTTGCCACATTCCTGCTTGAGCCGTTCAATGGAGATTGTCTCCAAAGCCGGCTTCTTCCGATCCATCTCAACCCTGTGATTCTGAGTCTCCACTTCATGCCGCTCTGTCTTGAGGATAAGGTCAGCTGCCCGCTCTGCCAGCGCGAGGACCTCCGGCAATGCAAAGTAGGGCGAAGGTCGGGGGATCACAGAGCCATCCGCAATGCGAAGACCCTGAACGCCGTGTACCCGGAGATTGAAGTCCACCACAGAGTCGCTTCTGTCTGGGCCCATGCGGCAGGAGCCACGGCCGTCATAAACGGCAGAGAACGCATTGCGGCGGCCCGCGCCGTTGCCGATGAAGGTTCCTCCCAAAGCTGAGTTGTTCCACACCGTCATGGCATAGGTAACAGCCTCTTCTGCCAACTTCCAATCCTCATCTGTGAGAGGTCGGTGGGTGAGTACGGGGCTCACATCCGGTGAAGCACTTGGGAAGGTGATCTCACCATCTGCTTCGGTCTCGCCCAAAGTCACCAGGATGGTGTAGCCATTGGTCTGCAAAGGCCATGGTTCGCCCTGCAGCGAAAACTGTAAAGGTGCAGATTCCAATGCCTGGTACATTGGCAAAAAGCTGAAAACCACATCGGATCGGTTCTCTAGAGGCCGCTTCATAGAGCTGAAGGTAGAACGATAGCGGGCGAAAGCTTCCTGACCGGTGCTTTGGTAGGCATCAGGCAACTGACTAGCAATCGGAGAGATGGGTGGGCCAAGCATGTGGGTCAGACTTGGCTTGTCTGTCCGCCACGACAAAGGGCTGTATCGTGCAGACGTGACATGCTTGCCCATGGCTGGGAGGTCATGCAGCACTGGCAAGCCGACTGCATCCAATTCCCTTTTTGGCCCCATGCCCGAGAGGAACAGGAGACGAGGCGTGTAAACATATCCTGCAGACAAGACCACCTCTCGATTTGCATAAATCACATGGTCGGTCTTGGTGGCCAATTCTCGATATACCTGAAGGACAGTTCGTGATGTTTATCTCCATGCATGTATGCGGCTTTGTCTATCGGGTTTCGTTGCACAAACAAACGTTCCAAGACAACGTGCCAAATTGGTTGGTATCTTGAGCTTTCGTCAAGAGTTTGGAACGTGTCAAGAAATCAAAGCCAACAGCTGTCCATGCCCAACCAGTAGCTGTTGGGGGTCAAACTACTTCTTATGGGGTACCGAAATGTTTAATGAAGATTTTTCGGCCTAGGCGCAACCCCTTTGCAACGGTCGCGGTCCATGAGGAGCCTGTCTGCACGAGCCCCATCCAAAACCTTCAAGTTCGGGCGTCCAAGTGCTGGATACAAATAGGCATTGTAGGCATGCACCTTGGTCCCATCCTCGTACTGAGTGGTTGCTGGGAGACCGACGGCCTTGCCATGAAGGGTGTTCAAATCTCCCTTGGGGAACCCAGCAGCTTCGGCAGCTGCAATGAAGTCATTGGTTAGCGGATGTGTGTAGGCGGGCTCCTTGGAGATGTGGTAGACACCCGATGCGCCATAATCGCCGCAACACTTGTCGAAATAATCACGCATCTCTGTCCAGTTCCACCCATCTCCCCATTCATCCAGAATTTCTGGGTGATCCTTGAGGTAAAGCGACAGACCTGGCAATGTGCTCCCCCCCAACCAGCGCGCAGGTGACGAGCCTGTCTTGCTCACTGGGAAAGCTTTCGCAGAGTAGCCCGGTTGAATGATCTGAAGCTGCAGCCCTTGGGTTGCTGTCAAGTTCTTCTTGACAATAAACTCATCACTCAACAGCACTGGCCCATTGTAGGCATCTGGCGGTGTCCCAGCCACATTGAGGAGGAGCACAGACTGCTTGCCAGACTCTGAGAGACGATTTGCCAACACCGCACCTGCCGCTCCACCTCCCACGATGATGTAGTCATACAAGCGATGCGATTTTTTGGCAAAGGTGGTGCTGATGAGAAGCCCAATCACAGCAACCCGCATCATGAGTGGGCCACAACTAGTCAATCTGGACATTCCTGGAGCCAATGGTGGCAGGCTTGCTTCCAATCGGACTGGTCAACACCCCTCTTGCGGCCCACAAGTCAGTTTGCTCATCAAGAATCAGCCAATTCTGTACCTCATGCCAGTGCCAGTAAGATGTAAAGTTTGCACACACTGAGTCCGGGACTTGCGTTCTCGGAGCACTTTCGACATTCAAGGCCTGCGTTGGAAATCATCGGTTTTACACTTCTGACCGTCCGCATGGAAAACATGCCTCACCCTGCAAGAATATATGAACTCAGGGGTTTGGTACATGTGGATACATTTGGAGCTAAGTGCAAGGAAAGATCCCAAGTGGAGCTAAGTGTCATGAGATTTTCTATGGCTCCTTTGGATCCTTTTGGCACCTCAACACGTCAGAGTTGGCCGTCAGAACGACTTGCAACAGAAGTACAGTACATCAACGTGTGACTCATAAGTTGGGGAAGGTCCTGGATCAAGGCACTAGTTTTGAGGATGTTTGTGACAGGGATATGTTGGGATTGTCTTGTCATCTCAATGGCTTGAGGTAAAATGCGACCGGCCAAGGTGCACTGGGGAAGCAGCAGTATAGAGTCTGTTCTCTCAAGCTTTTGAATTATATATAAGCATCTGTCAATATAGTTCGCAAACACCGCATGATCGCACAACTCAGAAGCATTGCAATGGCCATACAAACAGGGCGGCTGACAGAACATTGTCGACAAACAACGTTGTCGCAACCTGAGTAGCATGATATAACATGCATTCTTTCAATTTCTTGCATTCTATGTCCCACCGTCAGAGAAAGTACATGAAGTTCAGATTCCAAGCATGCTCAAGAGTTTACAAGCATCTTCCATCTTCAATTCACTTCACATTGCGAAATCACTGAACCTGAATGGTCGTGGTTTGCTACTGCATGCTCCATCCAAGTTCCCAACACTCGCAGTATTTCGTTTCAATATCTTATGAATCTCTCAACAGAAACAAAAACGGCTTCCCAATTGCCAACTTCGCCATGCAACATCGCATTCGTAGGCTTGGTCAGCTCATCTGGACTCCACTGCGTGCCTTGCAAAATTGGCGGATCTGTCAACTTCGCTTGACCTGCTGAATAACTGATCAAGAAGTCGCATTGGATTGAGTTCGATGCTCAGCGGGACATTTGAGAGTGTCCTCGCAAAGTACAGCAAGATGTGCCGCTATTTCAAGACAGAAAGGGAAAGCCGGCTCTCCTGTCACACTTGCTCATTGGAAAACACACAAATTCAAAGGACAAAACTCAGTTGGATCAAGTTGAACAATAACGCACAAGTTCCACAAGAACTTCGCGAAACCAGCAAATCAGTTTCACAAGAAAATCGATGTGCATTTTCCACTCAGAGCTTCGCTTAAGTCTTCTAAGGCCGTGTGGATGGATCAGTTCGCTTGCGTCAGTAGTCTTCTGCTCATAGAGAGAACTCCGCCCAGGACTTGCCGAATAAAAATCATGCAAACTTATCAGAGAAATCGAGAGTGCACTATCCACAGCCCCACCAATCAGCTCTGGAGCGATGTGGTGAGGAACAAGATGTAGCGAAGGCTCAGAGAGAAAAGCTGCCCCACAGCTAACCTTTAGTCCCCGCCTTCCTTCACAATCTTGCCAATGCAGAAGTCAATCTTCAGCCAGGGTGTGCCTGCAACGAGCTCAAGAAGGAGCAATGATGGAATCTGGACCAGATACATCGTCAAGAAGGGCAAGGGATCGTCGCCGTGCAGCAGAGCATCAGTGCCGCAGAGCATCTCCCAAAGGGACAACTTGAAGCAGTTCTTGTGCTTCCAGAAGCCGGCACGAAGGAAGACCTGATCCATGATCCAGTACTTCAGGGTCTTTGGGCTGGATGTGACGACATCCGCGTCGCTGGGCACGTGACCCTCGTCAGCGAGAGCCAAACCCAGATTCTTGTGACCCTCAAGCGTGCAAACTGCACTGTGGATCCGGGGGTTGCACTCAATTGGCAACATCGCTCCGTCCGAGTTGTGCATGAGATCGAGGGTCAGCTGCCCAGTGAGGTTCATGGCCTTTCCGAGCCCTGCACAGAGGTTCTTCACGTCATCATAGTTCTTTCCCGACTCCTGACGGTACCTGAGGCAGGATGCCGCAGATTCGAAGAATTCAAAGCCAGTCAGCGCTCCCTTGTTATAGAGTGCATAGCAGCCATACTCGGGGTTCTGCAGCACCTCTTGAATCACGTAGGGCACTTGCTTGCTGGCGTTGCGAGACTTGAGATACTCAAGCTGCTTCTCGTCCTCGATTGGCAAGAAGAGAATCTCAGTGCGAGCTTTCGGGTCGTACACTGCAGGCTTGACAATGTACTTCCGGCTGCCCTCACTGGTGCTCTTCCCCTCGAAGAACTGCAAGGCATCCTCAAGGCACTCCATCTTTGCAGTCTCCGGGCATGGCAAACCAGCCTTCACTAGGACCTGATTGAAGGTGAACTTGTTGTCCAACTCGTCAGTGACAGCCGCATCAAAGGCAAATACCTTCACCTTAGCTGGCAGGCGCTTTGCCAAGTGAGCGTAAGCGGAACTCTCCACGGGGGCCGTGCAAGGAATGATCAGGTCGGTGTCCTCCGCCTCCACAATGCTCATGATGGTGCTCTCCCACTTCGCTGGCTCCACAGTGGGCCTCGGCAACACGTAGTGCGCGGACACGTAGCTGCAGAAACACGTGTGGCAGAACTTGTAGGGCATGATCTCAGCAGTCACAACCTTGTGGCCATGGCGTCCAACTGCCCGGGCCACTGCGGAAGCCTTGGACATCTTACCACCAGTGACCAAGATGTTGAGTTTCTTTGGTGTTGGAGCAGCTTTGAAGCTTCCACCGAAGAGTCTGTGCCTCACCCAGGCGGCAAGTGCCCACAGCATCAAAACTGGACTGAAGCCGTACAAGCAGAGCAGAGCAACCAATGTCCTACCGCGAGCAGCCCAAGGACCGGGCTCCGCGGCGACGGCCGCCTTTGCTTCGGGCTTCTGTGTGGCAACCACGGGCGCCGAGGGACGCTTGCGCTGCCTCAGGCCCTCTGGGACTTCTTCATCCTTCTGGCTCGCTGAGGCCAGAATCATCGATGGCATTGGCATACCAGCCAGCCAACGTGATGTAACTTGCAGGATGATTTGAGGATGATTTTTGGATGCTTCAGGATGATTTGAGGATAATCTTAGAATGACATTTTGTATGCCTAGGATGATTTTAGGAAGATTCTAGGATGAACAAAAGGATGATTTGAGGATACATTATTTTTTTTTGTGTTTCCAACCTCTGGCTGGCTGGCCGGCTCATAACGCTAGGGCTGGGGCATGGCTGTGCAAGCAACACCATGAGTTCCAGCTAGTCGAGGTGCGCGGGGACTGGGAGTTTCACAAGCTGATCTGGGAGCTTCCACTATTTTCATGGGTGGGCCCCCTTTATTGGAATGCCCAGCAAGGTCGAGATCTGATGACCCGGGGCTCCTTTATTGGAATCGTGATCCCAGAAGCACGTGGAGAATGCAGGAGTTCACGCACGAAGACTTCATAGCTAAGAGGCTACCACGCAGAAACATATGCACCTTGAATTGCATTTAACTGCCAACAGCTGAAAAGCTCCCATGGTTGGAGAAGTGATGTGTATCTGACTAGGGTCCCCTGGTGAACATTCGTGGGTTCCACGTGAGCTCCTTGAAGTGGTGCCTGATGCACACGGTCCATCTAGGCCTCCTATTTGGCCTTAATGCTGGCTGCTTGCAACTTGACTGACCATGAAAGTGTCTGCCATGAAATGTGCACCTCTTTGGGTCTGTCCTGCATCGCTGACATAGACATAGGTGGTGGCGTGATCACGTTGATGCTCAGGATGCTCCTCATCGAGCGAATGGGATGGTTTGGTGCCGGACCCCTTGCACTTCAATTGGAACGGGCTTATCGTGACTTCTTGCGGTTTGCTAGATTTCACCGGCTTTCTCACAGTCAACTGCCCCTCACACCCAGACTTGTCCCTCGACTAATGAGCCAAAGCTAGCTAGCACCTGGCCCATTGAGGTCATCAAGAAGACGGGAGAACGGATGATGACCTGCAAGGCTTGGAATGGCCGCATCGTTTTGCAGTGGCTATCGGAACGGCTTGCATTGGCTAGCCAAGCGTTCCCACCAAGCTTCGATCATGGTGTCACAGCGCTTGCGGTCACAGCATCGCGCCCTGCTTGCAATGCAAGATATATACTCAAGATCCTATCGATCAATATCCCATATCATGTCCCGGAAGCGTCCTCTGGCCAGATCCATTCTGAGGAAATCCATGGCTCGCTTTTTGTGGCTCATTGAGGGCCAGCCACGCATGTTGTGGCTTGGTTATATTGCAATGCGTCATGGTGCTGGCTATACCATGATCTGAGGTCCCAGGCTACTGCTGGCAAAGTCTTCGATGAAGGCATGCTCTTCTCGTTTCTGTGGCACTGGGCCGCAACGAGTTCATCATGAAGCCGAAGTTTCATGAACCTTGGACGAACTCGCGGAGCAAAATGCTCCGTCTGCTCAGTTGATGTGCACATCATCGCTGACATAAAGAAGTTCAGAATCTTGGCTGATGACTTAAATCTGTCGAGTTCTTGAGTCTAGAGCTTCTCACCGACAGTCCATCTCAAGGCGTGAGTCTGTGGACCTTGGCATGCCCTGCGTTCTGTCTATATTTACGGCCTTGAGACTGTGCATGAAAAGGACTGCCTGTTCTACTCAAAGCCGAACGTCTTCAACAGGCTGCGGAGAAGCTTCGAAAGAAGACATCTCAAGTGAAAACCATTGAAAACCATTTCTTTGAAATGTCAAACTCCAACACGCAGCAACAAGAGAATGTAAGCATAAAGAGCCACCTGGGAGAATAGGCATGTAGCCACTGATCTCAGTTCCGGGCCGGGCTGGAGGACTAGAGCCGCCGAAAGGTCATGGCACCTTCACCAAACTTTCCGAAAACACCTAAAAGCTCAAAGACTAGGAGCGACAAGACTCATAAGCCATAAGCGACACAACCCCTGAACATCGCCCATGCGGCTCTTTTTGAGCTCCTCTGGTCCCGCTTTCCATCTGGAAATGGCTGGCCCGATGAGAACGCATCCATCCACAAAGACACAAGGACCTCTGTTACGATGACGAAAAACTATTGTCCGCATTAAGCTAAGATGACAGTTGGTTGGTCCTGATGTCTATCATGCGACAGCCTTTTGACTGAAAGGCCGGCACGCGAGAGAGGCGGAAAAGGAAGGAACAAAAGATTACTCCGAAGATTGAGAAAAGGCAGTCAGCCCTTACCTCCGCTTCTAGTATTGTCACGCGCAGATTCTGTACACTGTACGCGTTCTGAGCTTCGCAGACCTGAAATTTTGAAAAGATCTTCAAGACTCTCGGTAGACAAGCGTCACGCCGTCCCCTCGGATGTTCGGGAATGAGATGGCGTTAAGAAAGCATGCGCACTAGCCACTTGACGCAAAAGCGCACGGTAAGTGAGCCAAGTGGCTGAGCGGAAGCATCACCTGCTGCACTCGGGGGTCATCAAGTAGGCCCTGATTCAATGCTTGAGCACCCTGGCCGTTCTTCGTGAGCTCAGTGCCCGACAACTCTTCACCCTTGTACATCACGTTGTCCACGACCAGGAGGCCCTTGACCTTCAGAAGGTTCTTATCCATCAGCATCTGATAAAGGCCAAAGTAACCGGGCTTATCGACGTCAAGGAAGACCAAGTCAAAGCTCTTGTCTTCAGCAGCCAAGCAAATAAGCAAATCGTGAGCCTCACCCACTAGAGACTCGATCTTAGACGCATGAGGAGAGCCAATCCAGTTGGCCTTGGCCATATCTTTAGCCTCTTGTTCCCTCTCAAGTGTCACCACTGTGCCATCCTCCGGGATAGCCTCCGCCATGGCGAGAGATGAGTAGCCGGTAAAGGTGCCGATATCCAGGACGTCTTTGCCGCCACTGAGTTTCAAGAGGAGCTGCAGCAACTGAGCCTCCGCCTGCCCTGAGATCATCTCAGCCTCCATCAATCTGCTCGTGTTGCCTTGTCCCATCAGCTCTGCCCACAGCGGATTCGTCATGGCCGTCCTTTTGCTGACGTTTTTCAATGCCTCTGATGGTTGGGAGCTATACTTCGTGACCATCTCATCGATGCCGTCCACGATGCGAGCGGCCTCTCCGATGGCCCTGGCACCTCCGTCTTACTTACAGTCGTAATAAGATTAGAGATCAAGTTAAGACTTGAAAGCTTGACTTGTTTTATTTGCTCCCCGATCTTCTAAGCGTTCACTTTGCCCGGCCTGCTCCGCTCGTACTCTGGCTCGCAGCACCCAGCTGGACGACCACGCGGTCCATAGGGGTCACTACGCAGCGGTCAGCGTCGCGGATCGAATCTTTCTTGCTCATAGGATCTTCAAGGCCCACGTCCACGCTATGCTCTTGGACACCCCGGCCCTCACGAGGATATTTGGAACAGAGCTCTTGGTATTCATGCATCCTCTGATGCAAGAGACGCTCTGGTAAGGAGTTCAAATAGCCTGACTCTCCCAAAGCGCGGGGGATCGGAGCACACAAGTTCCCACCTCGCTTCTCCACGATGCCGATTTGTGCCTTCCACACTGACACGGTGTCTTCCATCACAGGGTGCCACAAGGCCAGTTCGCAATCCGAGATCACCTTCAGCACACGATGCATGTCCACTTCACTGAGCCATCCCTCCTTGTAGGACAAGTAAGCCCCGAAACCCATACAGGTGCCGACGGCGTGTCCATGAAGCATTCCTGATGGCAGTTCATAACCAGGGCTCCAGGTGTGACCATAGGCATGAGGTCGACATTGATGAGTCTCCCACAAGTTGCCATACTCTGCACGGACATATCCCTCCATGGCTTTGCCAATGATGAGGTCGCAAACCTCTTGGAAAGCAGGGTCATCAAGGCCTCCCAAGGTGCCGAAGTTCGTCGCCACCGTCTCCTTTCCCCACTTCTCCATCAACTCGAAGAGATGCAGGTCCGCCATCGCCGCCACCTTGATGATCTCAGCTACTCCATGGCGTAACTGCCCTGGGTGCATGGTCCTCCAGAAGCCGCGATCCGTGATGGTCAGAGCCGGTGGATGATAGGCACCATAGAGGTTCTTGTAGCTAAAGCCATTGCAACACACACGGGGTGAAGGGCCAGCATCAATACCAGCCACAAGAGACGTGCAGAGCATCACATACCTCATTGTGACTCCGAATTTCACAAGACCCAGACTCACATGTCCTCAAGTGTCTAATATTCCTTTTCTTATCCATATAGCTATGTCTCTAAATCTCCTTGAATCCAAGGCGCGGAGTGTTCCTGGAGTAGAGCGCACACGCCATGCCAGCCACATCTGCAATGACGCCGCCGCCGACGATCAGGACGGGCTCATGGCGCGCCTGCCAATTCTCCTTCAGGGCCAAGAGGATCTGCTCGACATTGCTTAAGTTCTTGTCAACCTCGTTGCCACTGAAGACGAGCTTCACAAACTCGATTCCATTAATTTCGAAATATTTCTCCAAGTCAGCGCCAAAGTGAGCTTCCACTTTGTCATCCACCACGGCCACACAACGACCAAGGGGCTTGTAGACGTCAAACAACAGCCTGTTTGAAGGCTGCAACACGTCCCGAGCGATCTTGATGGTCGTAGTGATGGTCGTACTCATCACTGACTCGATGGTCGCAGAGTCTTCTGTGGCCAATGTCAAACCGTCACACTGGCGGTAGATGGAGGTGGGGAAAACTCCATGTGGATCGGCAGCTTCCAGATGGATCGCGTTCTCGCCATAGAACGCTCGCACCGCTTCTGGCATCTTCAAGTCCTGAAAACTCTTGCGCAGTATGCATGGCCATCGGCTATGTCGGCTTTTTGAGTGCCCTCTTCTTACTGCCTAAAAGAGTTCAAGAACCTTCGATAACGGACGGATGATAATGCAGAACGATGGTCCTTGATGGCTACTACGTGATCGTCACTTTCTGCCAATTCCTGCAGTAAGCTTTGGAAAGCAGCTGCATGCTCCAGTCGCAGTTGCTCAGCCAACCTCTCAAGCAAAATGGCCAGGTGACTCTGCGAGAGGCTCCAGAAATACTTCAGCTGCTTCAATACTGAGAGCACGGTGAGGTCATCCTGCACCAAGAAAACCTTACGTCCTTGCGTGGGAACAGTGAATTCTGTGAAGAAACCCAAGATAAGCACCCAAGACTGTCCTTGAAGGCGAGTCCAAACTCGTGTGAGAAGACGGGGAGCCTTGACATCGCCACTAGCAACTCCTTCACTGCTGGGCTTGATAGCAGCAAGAGCATCTTCTGTTGAGCGCTCTCTTCCGCACATCCCTTCAGCACAGCTGCCCCTTCCTCAAGCATTGTTTCAGTCTTTTTGCGAATGTTGCTGGCTTTCATTGCATCCAACTGGTAATAGTTGATCTCCATGGTTCGTTCCCCGCGCCATTCCCTCAAGGTCAGACTCCTTTTCCGGTGCACTGCTGCGACAGCGCCAAGTGCGAAGCAACCTGTCAGAGACTTGCTGAGAGACTCGTCTGGCTGTGTTCGAGCTGGAGCTGCAGGCCTTGCCGCTCCTGAAGATCTTAAGCCATGCTGTGCGCCGATTGCAACGCTGAGTGCGGCCATGGCTCAGTCTTCAAGCAGTGAAACTAATATGGCCACAGATTGAAAGTCCTCCATCAACGGCGTCTTTTCCACCCAACTCCTAAACATGATGTCGGAGTCGGAAACGCACCCATTTTCACGAGGGACGCAGCAAACAAAAACGTCTCACATTCTGCGAGAGCTATACTAATTAAAGCATATTAAAGATCCCCTCCAACATAGAGATCATGTTTGAAATTATTTCCTGGGGCTTAACGTCTGATATAGTCCCAACACAACTATATTGTTGGTTTCCGCAATTTAAAAAAGCGTAGTGGACCTACAGGATTTAATTTGGGGAGTACAAAGGAGGATCATTAAAGCTACACAGGGATCCACACACTCCACAGCCACCACAAAAGCGTTCAATTAGGTCAAAAGTGTCGACTTGGTGCATGAAAAGACATGCCGCGAGCGGCTGGATATCTGTGAGCGAGGTGTGCTTCAGGCCCGTACGACCTTCAGCACACCACGACTTCTCATGCCCATGGCTTGATTGGATGAACCAATGGGCTGATGTTCACGGATCGCTTTCCTTGCTAAGCGGTAGAAGATGTCGGTATCGTTGTACTTCGGGTCACCCCTGGACCTCAGATCTACCCTCACCTGATGACATGGGTCACATGTTTTGGCACGGGTTTGGGTGGCGAAAACTTTGCCATGTACCCGTCACATCAACAGGATATGGAAACCATTCTCTGGAGCATACTCTTGCAAACCTCAATCTTCGACCTCCATCATCAGAGCGCTGATCTAGAGACATGAGCATGTGAGTCTGGATGTCTGGGTTCTTGTGCGACCCCCTAGACCTAGGACTTGCCGACAGTTCATTTTTGATAGAACCCAAAGTTCCAAGATGTCGAACCAAACGATCCAGATGCGACTGTCAAGCCACATGGTGACGATGACACTCTTGGGAGAGAAGGAGCAATAAGGCGATGCTTCAATGAAGAAGGGATTCCCTTCAGGATCGACGCGCACGTCGTAGAGGGAATAGTGGCGACAACCTGACAGGTTTGCCAACTGATATCATGGGACCAACAAGTTGAAGAGGTTATGGTCCAACAATTGAATAGGTTGTTCTGGTATACCAACAAGTTGCGGTCATGGTTGGGAAGCTCTAGGACTTGTCAAATAACTAACGCATAACTTGTGGTACCAAGCAGTTGAATGGCTTATTGTTGGTCTAGGACCTGACCCAGACATGTCAACTTGCAGGTGACTGGGACCTGACAAACGGAACGTCCTGGTTGGTCCGCCCGCCCAACTTGCGCCGAGAAAAGTACAAGAAAGGAAAAAGGAAAAAGGAAAGAGGAAAGAGAAGGCCAAAGGATGGGATTTGACAGAGGAAAGGAGGGAAAAGGAATGGAACAGGAAAAGGGCTGGGCCTAGAGCTTCATGGCTTCGTCGCGCCATGTCCACCAGCTTCCTCCGCAGCACTTCATCGATGTCTGCAGGGCATTGGCGATCCTCGGCACAGGTCCTGGATCACCTCATACTCCTCATAAGGTGGGAGATGGGAAGGTGAGAAATGGTTTTGAGCGGGTCAAGTTGACTTGCTCGACCTGCAACTGCGCTGACCCCGATTTGGTGTGGAAAAGGATGGAAAGGCAATGTTTTTGGGAGCCCAAACTGGGGTTGAACTCGAATTAGAGCTGGACGCCAAAGCTTCCCCACCGACGAAGTCCATGCCATTGGCGGTGCCGTCTGGGCTGGAGATCTTGTCAGCGGACGTGCGGATGGGCTGCTTCCTCAACACGGCGCTGACCCTCACAAACGAACATCGAACCTGACCATCACTGGCTTGTAGAAGGAAGTCCTCTTCGAATTGATGTTCATCTTCCATGTTGGCTTCTGGCTTGCCACACATGAGAACCTAAACCCTGAGCATCTCGGGCTCAACGGCCAAGGGGCTTGTGACCCAGGAAGTACTCTATAACAGGCAGGAACTCCAGCTCATCATCCTCTCCGTCCACCACGCCGATCCTGAGAAACACAAGCTGGAGACCTGAACTATGATCTATAGTGGAATCACCTGAGCAGTCGATGGATTTATGCATGAATTTTCCAAGTTGACTTCGATAGGGCTGCTCTGCACCAAGTCTCCTCAACTCTCGGCCCAGGGGGATGAATTGCTCGCAGAGGAGCTGGTCATCATACTTAAATCCTTCCTGAGACAACTTGCACCAGTCCGTCCGTCTCACCTGTAGAAAGCTTGTTCTTCTAGCGACCACAGAACCAAGTCATATCAGCCATGATCAATCCTTTAAAAATCCTCACTAAGATTCTTGGCAGGTCCTAAGGAAGGTCAACTTTGGACGTGGCACAATGAGCGCCGATTCGATGTCGGACTCCGTTTGGACGAGTGTGATGCCCATTGAGTTGTCCTCGCCTCGCACGCGCGTTAGACAATTTTGGAAGCCATGGCCCTTCGAATTGGAATGACATCTGTGAAAGGCCCTCACATTCAGATGACCCTGCAACGGCCAGTTCATCAGTTCCTATGGTCACCTTGCATCAATTTAAATCTCGGGAATGCAAGAACTTGCATTGTGAGGGTGGATGGACACAGCTCCATGAGACAAGTCCATCACTCGAGCAGGAACACCAAGACGTGCATCAAGGCCATAAAGAAGGACTACAGTCAGTGCATTACTTGGAAACAGAAGTTTCAACTTGAAACTTTCACTCATTTCATGCCCTCGACATCCCAAAACAACGGGGGGGAACAAAGACTTCTAAGCGAACAGATCCAGACGAGGACACGGCATGGCTTGATGATCAACGGCACCCTCATCTCAACCTGGACCGGGCCATTGAATCATCTTCACTGGGTCCATTCAATTCATGGGAAGTGCATCCTTTCATGCCCAATCCATCGCATAATTTGCATGATGCATACAAACTGCTTTCATCTTTGCCCCTAAATGGCCAGTTTCGAGAGGGAAATACTTCATTTGAGAGTGGGAGACATCACAGAGTTCAAGATTGGTCTTTTGAGGTCTGCGAACCTTTTGATGTCAACTAAGTTCACATCTTGTCCAGGTCTTTGATCTCAGACCCCATGCCTCAAGGCTCTGCCCGGCCTTGTCGCCAGGTCTCAAAAGTTGCGCCTTGGGCACCGACACTCCGTGGCTCGCCACCACAGCGCGGGACTGCCACTTGTTCGTGGTCAAGGCCTAGGGTCTGGAGAAGCTTGGGAGTGTGTTTTTGTTGTCTGATATTTACTCGTTTTTAGTTCCCGAGAGCTTAGGCCGGCTTTCCTGAAGTCCTAACAGGTCCATTCCAGGTCCGAACTTCATCCTACTTCGCCAATGAACTTTCCAACCTCTGGCGCTCTAGTCATTCCAAAACTGCAAAGCCGGAGCTCGCACGGTGGTCGCGTATTGGGCTCCTTTTCACTTGAACTCCAAAAAAAGTCTGCAAAGGTCAGGATTCAAGTCTTGACATGTATCCGAAGACCTAAGGACCTCAAACTGCATGCCAGTCTTACCTACACCTATACATGGCCTGACATGCATGTAAAGTTGCCACCCCCCCTTAGAGCTGGCTTGCTGTACTGCCGCTCACGGGAAAAAGTGGTTGGAGAGGTGCCTACTCAGATAGGCGGTTCCTCCCGCTCAGTTGGTGTCCTCCTCTGGGCTGTTCATGTCCTGAGGGTTGTCTTAGTCCGAAGGCGGATCTTCCCGCTCATTATGCTGAGGCTCAGGTTCTTGTTCAGGTGCCTCGCCACCTCACAATCCACTCACTGCAGACCTGGCAGGTGAACAACGTTCTGATGTTGCTGTCCTCACTGTTCGCCAGCGTTGGACACAATCTCCTAAGGTGGAGTCGACTGCCATGTCTTGCGAGCAGAAAATGGTCTGTGGGCGATCCTCCTGCTGCTCTTGGTTCCCGATCCACCCGAGATCTCGCGAAACCACGTCATATATTGCCAAAAACCGGCTGCCACAAGAAGCATCAGGAGAACATAGATCTCCCAGCGCACGGTGTCAGACCTTGCAGGGCTGCAGGCATCTGCGGCTTCCAAGTCTTAGCTTGCTCAGAGACCTTTGATACCTTGACATTGATGCGCTTATACTCGCCGTCATGCTCTATCATTCCATGGGACAGCAGCGCTGCCGGCACATCCGTGCCGGTCTTGGGATGCTTGGTCAAGAAATTGGCCGGGTTCCACAGAGCTTTGACCTTGCCGATCCCAACTTTCTTGGCTTGAAGTGCTCCTTGGATGTAGAACTCGCTCACATCGAGTTGCCGATCAACTTGCTTCCAGGACCAATCCGCTTGGCCGCTTGCATGGTTGCTGACGAGTCAGTCCACAGCTTGGGCCGCGCGACTCTCAGACTGAAGTCTAGACAAGAGAGGTCATGCAGGAAGATTGCCTCCCTGGCTCCCCCTCGACGCTCCTCTAATCTCTGCGTCGGATGATCTCAGCTGGTACGACGGCGCCTCCCAGCACTGCAACGTAGCAGTCGGTGCTGTATCGGGTCTCCAGACATCCTGCCCAATCACTGTCAGTGAAGACGTCCAGGCGTAGCTCACCCCAGCATCAAGGGTGATCACTTTGACGATCTTGGGATGCCCGCCGCGTTCCAATTGCATTCGCTTGGCACTGATATCCTTCTGGCTAATTCTTTGGTTGCAAACTGGATGTCTCGCCTGTCGGCTGAAAGGAAAATTGCTGACCCAACAGCGCTCCTAAACTTCGTTGCCCGAACTTCATCTAGTGGTTCAAGGTGCAACAAGTCTAGCTGCTTGCTTGGAACTTCGGGCCCATCCTTCGCTGTGATGCTCAGCGCGGCCTTGATGTTCTCAACATGCTTGGGATCTGCCTCTGGCTTGATCTTCGTGCGCCCTGCACCTCAACGGCGGCGCCAACCCGCTCTGGACCTCACAGTGCTTTCGGAACTCCTCCTGGAAGAGAAAGTTCAGGCGCTCTTCAGGACCTGCTGCCCTGATGTCATCGATGTGATGAATCAGCACCACGTGTGTCTTCTTGCGCCTAAAGACACATGGATCCTTGACCCCACGCTCGAACTGAAAGCGCTTGCTGAACTTGCCAATCATGATCTCCTCAGATCCAGCGGTCCTTCTGCCATAAAGATTCCCATCTAAACGAAAAAGGATACCTCGGAAACGATGCTGATATCGAGACCTGTCGGTTGGTGGCAAAGTTGCCAGCCATTCGTGGAACAGATCATGCCATTCCACAGGCGCACGCGCATACACCCAGTTGCGACGATGTCGAGTGACCACGTCATGTAGCCATACAGTAGAGCATAGACTCCCAGAAGAGCATGGCTTTCTGGCGTTGGCGTAGGCACGAAGACATTCATCTCTGCATCCTGCTCTTTGGCGCAGGTGCTCTATTTAATACCTGCACAAGTGAAGCATGACTTGTACTTACCACGGCTGTTCTTGTCTACCCACCATAGTGACCAAACACTTGTGCTCCCTTAGGGACTTCTTGCTTCAGTACTGGGGTGAAAGCGTGGCGATCCCTCCTTGCGTGCACAGGGGTTCGCACTCCCCTGGGACTCTCCCCTGGCCTGCACAGCGCTCCACACCTCCAGCCCACCTCGGAGCCGGCGCTGCGGCTTCGACTTCCAGAGCCTCGACCTTGCACCGTCCTCACCTACGCTCAGTAAAACGCCGTCAGCTGCTTCTGCTGGCTCCTCGCCTATCCGCGACGCTGGCATGACCACAACTTGGGAAGTCTCGGGAGACCTTCCCGTCGCCTGGCTCCCATGGTAGCCCACGCATATCCCGCATCAGATCTGAACCGATCTGCTCAGGCTTGGGGAGGCGGTGGACGGACCGCACAGCTATCTCCGGCCGACGCATCTGTAGCCGGCGAGCGCCGACATGTCCCTGGAGAGCCTTGGCCACTGCTCCTACTGCATGCTCTGCCTCTTCGGCGCTTCGACACCGGTGTGGGTTTTCTTTACTCGTCCCACTGACACGGCCAACAAGAAGTTTGCCGAGAAGGTCATGGAGAACTACGAGCCCGGGGTCTGCGCACCATGGCTGAAAAGGAAGGTGCGTCAGCGCATGCGCCGCTCGCTCAGCAGCTGTTGGCTCTGCTGGCACGGCGGGGCCTCCCGGCGGGACTGGGTCGATGACCTCTCCCTCGAGATCACCTCCTGACCCTTCTTCTTTGTCCGGGTCACGAGATGGTTATACAGCATCTCATGGTCCGGACGTTCGAGCGCGGCACAGGCTTCCACCGCAGCTGCTTCCTCGTCTAGCACAGGAGCGATCTTGACTCGCCTTGAGGGCTTGCCACTGAACTCGCATATCGCAGGATGAACTGCTTCCCTTGACGGTTCACCTCCATCGGCCCATTGGATGAAGCACCCATCAGGTGAAAACACACCACAGTGCCTCCAGCATCTACGGCCCTGTTCACGCTCAGGATGTTGTCCGTGATCCCCTCAACTACCTGGAAGGTGACCGTCACATCCTGGCGGTGCTCCCGGCTCCCCACATTGAGGAAGGGGCGGCATTCCTCGCGCGACCTGAGCCGAGTGTCATCAACCACCGAATAGAGATCCTGCTTAGCCACGCAGGCTCCGTCGCCTCTGCTCTTGGTTCGAACAACATCACTGCCCAAACCGCAGTGCCAACAAAAGGCGCATGACGGTTCTGGAGAAGCTTCCAGTTCTTGCGGCGCTCTGTCCGCTTCCATCTCCCCTTCTTCCACACCCAGGTAGTGCGAAGTGAAAACACATCGCTCTCCCGACCTGGCGTGGCATGGTTTCGCACTTGGTTTTGCTTGCCACGCACCACGAACACCTTGGCCTCTGGCAGCTCGTGCCATCCAGGCTTGTCCCAAAGCTGCAAGATGCTGCAAGGGATTTAAGGGATCATCCTTAGTTTCTCGGGGCTGGTCCATCACGGTCCGCACACCTGGTGAGGCCGGCATGGTTGAAGCTTGCGATCCAACCTGCGACGCGGAGGGACCCGCAGACAGCGTGGAAGTGGCGTCATCGTTGACGTTGTTGACGTTCCGCTGGTGCTGCTTTCCATGGTCTTCGCCTTTGCCCTTGCCCTTGGCGTTATACCAACACTTCTCGGTGGTGTGGGCGTTGCTCCAGCAGATGGCGCACTTTGGCTTTTCATGGTCTTTGTCTTTGTTGCTCTTGCCTTTGCCATCTTTCCCACTTTTGCCTTTGTCACCACCCTTATGCATCCCTTCCCATCGGCTTGCCCTTCTCTTTGTCTTTTTGGCCTTTCTTATCATCGAGCTTGCCGATGTCGATGGCATTGGGGTCTCTTCTAGCGGTGCCTCCCGCATATGTGGCTTGCGGCATCCACGCTTGTTTGGCTCGGAGATATGATACCACCACAATGCGAACACCCGCATACTTGTCAAGGCTCACGGTATGCATAGCAGTGCTGCTTCAAAGTGCCTGGGGCTTCAGTCACGAGGACTGCGCTCTTGTCTCTTGTCTTCATCTGCGATGGCCTTCTCAGACCCATACTCGGACTCATACTTTCCCAAGTCTGCCTCCCATTCTTGGAGGGCTGCACTGAACTCCGCCTCTTTCGAGGAGTGCTCTGCGCCACATCAGCGCCTTGCTGTGGTTCTCAGGCGCAAACTCTCGCCATAGGAGTCTCCACAGCTCATATCCGTTTTGCTGTCTGGTCCCGCGTGACAGCTTGGCTGCCGCAGGACAGTCTTGCGCCCAGCTTGCCAACATGGCAAACAACTTGGTGGACTGATCTGTCTCAGACGCGGTCATATCCACAGGGTCAAGAAATGTCTTCGACTTTCTTGCCTTCTCCATGGAGTCAGGGAGTGTCCCATCCAGAAACGCTAGATTCTGCACCTGAAACGCAAACATTGCTGTTTCATAGCCCGCGTGACATCGATGTGCTTGAGGTACGAACCTCGCACACCGCTGCTATCAGCGTCGGCCGCGGCGGTGCCGCTTACGGGCACAGCCGCCGCCTGTACGGTCGTTCTGGCCACTACGCTGGCCAGCTCTTGGTGGCTCCGGACGAGCTCTTGGCGAAGCTCCTGCTGAGGGGCCTCTCTTTGGCCTGCAAGGTTGTGGGTTAGAGCTTGCACTTGCTGCGTCAGCCTCCCCACCATCTGAGCCATCCGGCGTCGCCATCTGAGCCCAAGACTCTTTGGAGTTCGCCGCTCAGAGCTTCGGCCCGTTCTAAGGCGGCTTGGACCGGATCCTGCTCTGGTGGCGGTTCTGCCTGCTCAACCGTTTGCACCTGGCTGGCTGCCTGGCGCGTGCGGCTGTGCGCGGGAATGCCCGCTGCGTGCAGCGGGGGTGAAGCGAGGCTTTGCTGATGCCTCTGCTCCCGGGCTTGAAGCCTATCCTGGGCTTCTTGGGATGGTTCGACTGTAACCGTCCTCAGGGAGTTCCACTCGGACCCAGCTTTCGCCGACTCCGGCGGATCCACCCGCACGATTCTCGCTCTCAAGCGAGCTTCTATTTGGGCTGAAGTCTGGCGCTTCAACCACTTCACCGTCCACGCTCAAGGAACTGTGCACTGAGCCGCTGGCTGGCACTGCTAGCAGAGAACGGCCTTGGCCGCGGTGCTACCCGCAAACCAGGAACTCAGTGGAGTTCCTGAGGGATGCTCTGACCTGAGAAGGTGCAGAGCTCCGCTACCATGCAAAGCCGGAGCTCGCACGGTGGTCGCGTATTGGGCTCCTTTTCACTTGGGCTCCAAAGAGTCTGCAAAGGTCTCCACCTACACCTATACATGGCCTGACATGCGTGTAAAATTGCCAAAAACGCTCTAAACGTTGCTGTTGGATACCGCAAGGTGCTTGCATCCCAAGGCACCATGACCTCTCCGGGAGAGCCAACCATGGGAATGTCCAACAATTCCGCGATGCTCCGAGTCGACACCATGCCCTTGTAGTCGAACATATGGGGCTGCACACCTCGATCAGATTGCCCCCTGTGTGGCTCCAAAAATATCAACTTTCCCTGGAGGTTCTCCATTCACCCCCCTCAACCCCAAGTCCACCATCCAAACCCAGGTGCAGGCGATCTTCTCGCGACCCAACTGGCCCAGGGCCTCTGGTAAGCTGAGCCGTTCCGCATGGTCCGCCTTGTCCAAGGAGGTACAGAGAGACCAAGTGCCATCGAGCCGGGCCAAGAGCACAAGATGGTCGAGCTCGGGCAGGGCCGCGATACATCCAGGAGCCTGGGCTGAGAGGTGAAGTGAGCCAAAGGTCGGCAGCTATGGTTAAATGGAGCTTCAAATGAAAGATTGCACTTTCCATCACTTTTCCAAACGTTGGTGACTTGGCCAACCTCAAAAGCTCTCAAGGTCGCCGTTGGCACCCACCCAGCCAAGCAGCATACATGACTCGTGACACGCCATAGTAGTAGTCGCTAGTTTGTGAGCCCACCAAATGGAGGATCTTGCCATTCATGGCCCAGCGAAAATCAGGAGGCACCGCTTGAACCAAGGAAGCTGGCTGGGTAATCTTCAGCTTTGAAGTTCCTACCAAACATCTGACGTCCTATCCCCAGAGGCAATCTACATCTTGGACCGTGCCAGAAGTCTTCCCCACAGCTGGCGCAGCTTCTGCAATCGTCCGTGACGCTGGAACCCAAAACAGGAGGCCAAGCTGTTTCCACGGACAGCTGTGGTTGGCACTACATGATTGAAGACGTACCGCTCGAAATCCCAACTGAAGACCGTCACCTTGCCCTAGTTGGCCAATGGACCAGTAAAACAAAACCCTGGGATTCAGGGTCGAACAAGGTATAGTTGTTTGTGAGCGTGGCTTCTTTGCACGTGCGGGGCAAACTTTGCCACTCGACGGATGAGACAGAAAGGTTCATAATCAAACATCACACTGTTTAGATTGGATCTTCATCCTTGCCATGGCCATGGGCTTCCTTCTAGATCAGCCTGGCTCGTCTGAACCTCAGACTCTAGTCCTCACCACCCACGTGTGTGAGCACATAAGGTTTTTGAATGGAGAAAGCACTAGCCAGAGGCCTAGACCCTGAAGAGATCAACGAGTTATGTATCCAGGCCACAATGACGAAATCTATGGTTTGGACGACTCCGGAAGATGACTCTGAGCGAGGTGCATTCCCCTCCCGATGGCCCTGTTGAACCTCAACCACTTTGGCTCTCTCCAAGGGCCATGCGTTGAATTTGACATGCTCATCATGATCATGTCGCGATATAATATAGAATATAGCGAACGGGAGGTATACTCCGAGCCAGTAATATAGAAGATATTAAACGATGTGTTCAAAAAGAAGCAGCGAGTCGGGCGGGACTTCAACGACGTTTCAAATAGAAGATATTGGTCATCACAAGAGGTCCCCAGAACCGTTGTTTTTTTGCCGGATCAGGGTCTCCAAGCCCTGCCCCGGGCCTAATATCTTCTATTTGATCTGGAGGGGGGACATCTTGAAGACATGTCCAAGCAATGCATATTTATGTGGCTTCGGCTTCGGCCGGCATTATCTTCCGTTTGATCGGTTACGGAGGTGAGAAGAATCATCGCAACATGGTCCTCCGAAAACCCGGTCCGGCGGAGCATCTGTCGGTAAATTGCCTTCTCGGAGTCGTAAACGGAAAACCTTCAAAAAACCCTCAGTTTTTTAGCTCTCCCGGAAGCCCGGGGGTTCCCATCCGGGGCAAGATCACTGTGGATCCGTCCAGGCAAAGAGTCGGTTCAAATAGAAGAAATATCGTGTACCATCAAGGGTTCAAATAGAAGATATTGCAACGAATAAATGTTTGGAGACCACCAGCCGAGCAAAAAATAAGGGAATTTATTCTATTTGAAATCCAGATCCACAGAACGTCTTTTTATCTTTCTTTTCACGGTGATGAATGCTTTCTTAGCATTCGTACCGCCTGCTCCA